TATCCTATCATAACTGAGCATGTAAGTCTTGTTTGGCCTTTTCCAATGTTCTAACCCAGATTGTTTACCCTTTTGTAAATTTGTGATTGTCCAAGTCTGAAAATACTTCTGTTTGTGTGTGAATTGTGTGATATTGGCCATATAAAGAATCAGTCTTGGACACTGCAGGAACCATTTCCTGCAAACACATGAAGCTGCTTGAATGGAATTAGCTCAATGGACCATACAGACTGTGACTGGACTGGACTGGACTAGACTAGACTAGAATAACAGAGTTGGAAGACACCTTGGAGGTCTTCTAATCTAACCACCTGCTTAGGCAGGAAACCCTATACTCCAATGGTTGTCCAATCTCTTCTTAAAAACTTCCAGTATTGGAGCATTCACAACTTCTGGAGGCAAGTTGTTCCACTGATTAATTGTTCTAACTGTCAGGAAATTTCTCCTTAGTTCTAGGTTGCTTCTCTCCTTGATTAGTTTCTATCCATTGCTTCTTGTCCTGCTTTCAGGTGCTTTGGAGAATAGCTTGACTCCCTCTTCTTTGTGGCAACCCCTGAGATATTGGAACACTGCTATCATGTCACCCCTAGTCCTTAGTTTTTTTCATTAAACTAGACCATGGGTTGGCAAACCATGGCTCCGGAGCCACATGTGGCTCTTTGAGCCTTCTCCTGCGGCTCCCAGCCTCCTCCACCATTTGCAGAGAGACAGAGACAGAGGCACTTGCACTTCCCTTTTCTCTCTCTCTTTGTAAAAAAGAGAGTGGTCTCATGCTGTTCTCCCACAAGCTGACAAGCTTATAGGGTGGGGCTCCTGCCTCTGCTGCGTCTCCACAGGAATCAGGAAGAAGCAGCTCTCTCTCTCTCTTCACACACACACACACACACACACACACACACACACACACACACATTTTACTTACTTAGTGGGGGAATAAGACTGGTAGACAAAGGGCAGGAGAGAGACAGCCCAATAAGAATGTGTCAGCTTGTCGGAGAACAGTGTGAAGCCAGCTTGCCAGGTGAGCAGGAGAGAGGGAGAGAACTCATGCACAGCAGCCTCTATTTCTTTTTAATTACACTCTTCAATCAAGCCTCCCCTCCTGCACGCATGTGCACGAGTTTTGCAGCTGCTGGTGTTTTCTTTTCTGTGGGAAATGGGTCCAAGTGGCCCTTTGAGTGATTAAGGTTGCTGACCCCTGAACTAGATATATCCAATTCCAGCAACCATTCCTTTACATTTTAGCCTCCAGTCCCATTCATTTTTGTTCCTCTTCTCTGCACTCTTTCTAGAGTCCCAATATCTTTTTTACATTGTGGTGACCAAAATTGGATGCAGTATTCCAAGTGTGGCCTTACCAAGGCATTATAAAGTGGTATTCACACTTCATGTGATATCCACAGCATTCCTCTGGTCCACTAATTTTGTCATCTTGTCAAAGAATGCAATAAGATTTGTTTGGCATGATCCATTTTTGACAAACCCATGTTGGCTTTTGGCTACTGACACACTGATAGTAACAGTCCAAGGTCCCAGGCAAGGTTTTTTTTTTCCAGATTAGCCTGAGGAACCAAATCTGAGATTAACACTTTATTCATGATATGGTCCTTCCAGTGGCTTTTTCCCATGTAAAATAAATACTTAAATCACTGTTCAAAATCTGTTTTCAATGATCTTGTAAATGATGATATTCTATCTCACACCATTATTCTCAGACGCACTCAATTGTTTTTTAAAACATGAGGTAAATGGAACGTGTGTCTTCTGACTGGGGCTTTTTTAAAAGAGTAAAAATTATACTTTCTGAATGGCAAGAGAGTGAAAATTCCCACTGCCTGTCTTCATCCTGCCAATCCTCCTAACCAAACCAATTTTTTCTTACTCAGAATAATAAATCCACGGAGGATCAGAAATGTGACTTTGGTTTAGCAGAGGAGCTTTATAGCCTAGAACACCTCTAAAAGAATATTGCATCCTTAGTAGCTACGCTTCCAAGTGAGCAATTTTTTGCTTCTGTTTATTCCAGAAACCTTTGAGTACTTAGGCAATTGTGAAGTATGTGAAAATATTTTTTGCTTTTTGTTGCGCTGGTTTACTTCTAACTACTGTAATATAACCATCTGTTATTTGCTGAAATTATATTTAATCTCATTCTTTAGTTCTGGACACAAACGGCATACTTGTTCCTAAAGAAGTATGCCCATTCTTCCTTTAAATGTGGAGATTCTAAAAACAGAATTAAGTGAGGTGAGAGTGCCACCTCCTGGTAGTTAACAATATATACACATTAATGTTAGCAACTACAAACTTTTGTTTCTCTCACACACTCATAGAGGGGGGGGGACAGGGAGAGGGAGGGGGAGAGGGAGAGGGAGGGAGAAAGAGAGAGGGGGGAGTCAGATGTTCTGTTTTAACATTAAGCTGTACCAGCAAATTTATACCAGATATTTATATTTGATTTGGAGAATATTCTAGAAAACAAAAGGAAAACTTTATAGCCAGCCTTTTTATAATGGACCGAGTACTAGCATTTCAGAAAAATATATTGCAACATCTGAATGAGCCTTACATACAGAACAGATATCAACCAGTATTTTGACATTTTTTATGGAGAAATCTATGATCTTCCCAGTTACATTTCTCTCATTTACTAGGACATCAGAAAGCGGCCTACATGGGAAGGACATACAGCCACAATCTACCTTTGCCCACTACTATTTAATTTTTATAATCAACTAGACAACTGTGTGGCACATTGACTCATCTTTGACAGAAAGGTAGTGCAGTCTTTTGTTACTAGAATAAATATTAAATTTAGCATGAATAAAAAAAAATACCATTTTTTGCTGGACAGTCCCATGATCATCTAAGAATACCATAAACAGAAAAATAATTAGTGGTATATGAACTTCACTAAGAAGTCAATATTTATTTACCTAAAGATATACACAATGACCACAAATGGGCAAAAAAGCAATACCAGTGGGAGTGACCTACAGCTTCTTTTCAATTTCTTCATTGACTTTGCTTGTGGGAAGCTGGCAGGAACTATAGGAAATCATACATTACCACAGGGACGCTGCAACTGCCACAACTTTGCCAATAAATCTGACCTGACCATTGTGAAAATCTCAACTCCACAAATATTTTATACATTCTTTAAGTTAGATTTTAGATATCTTGATTCAAAAATTGTAAAGGTATAATGCAGTATTTGTGCTAACTTGAGGGTACAGACAGGTAAACACAGGTTTTACTGGTATATAGATTCTGAAATGGATTATTTAGACAAAGTAGAGTACTATCCCTCTAACCCAGCGGTTCTCAACCTGTGGGTCGCGACCCCATTTGGGGTCAATCGACCATTTCACGGGGGTCGCCAAACAACGCGATCCGCCATTTTTTTGTCAACCGGCGCAGGGGGCAGCACCGCTCATGCGTGCCACGCAGGGGGCGGCGCAGGGGGCGGCACCACGCATGCACGCCGCACAGGGGGCGCTGCCGCACATGCGCACCGTGCAGGGGCGGCGCATGGGGGCACCGCCGTGCATGCACGCCATGCGGGGGGCGCCGTGCATGCGTGCTGCCTGCTTATGTCCGGGGTCGCCGTATAAAAAGGTTGAGAACCACTGCTCTAACCCAGGAAGTGAGCACAGAGCAATTGTTATAGGGTTAAGGAAAGTTACAATGGCTAAGTCTCTTTTATACAGACCACTTGATGAAGTTGCACCAATAACTGTGACAAATCTAAGTAGGGCCACACAGTTATTATTCAGGAAGTGATGTTACCCGCTTTGGTAATGAAATGTCTGCAAAAAAAGGGTTCAGAGAGCAACAAGGATCCCACTGTTCAAACCTGAACTACAAATATTCTCTTCTATTGGTATTCAGGAAATCTAAGGCCTATGGAGGTAGACTCGGAGGTCAAATGACATCCCAGAATAGTCACCACTTCAAGACTGATGCAAAGAAAATTACATATCCATGGAATCTCCCAAGTGGGAGGATTTGCATTTTCAGTTTTAATAAAACTCGGATCATAGTCTTCATTATTTAAAAAGAAAGTAGTTAAAAACTTTATGAGCTCATTTAGATGATTCCAAAATACAGACATTGCCATTCTTATAGAAGTCTATTTTATACGTATTTTACTTGAGATATAAGCATGGAGGGGAAAGGTTAACAAATCCTATAAAAATCTGTTTTTTTAAGAAAGAAAATGGTTTAGAAGAAACAGATAAGGTTTTGTCTATTGAAAAACTAACACTGCTTCCCCTTTATTCCTATCTCAATGTCTTGTGTCATTTTGTATCTGGAATTTTGCTTCTATAGTTTCCAACTAGCAAGAGTTTGAAAAAAAAAAAGCTAATTTTGCCTCATAATAAGTGAATGCAAGGATAAGAAACAAAAATGCTTGTTACAAATAAAATCAACATTATTTTCTGTAGATATCTTCCTTAAATATTGCATTGAGCTACCTGTAACAAACCAGTAAAAATAGCATATATTAAAAGGTGGCTTAAAAATAAAAGTAATAAAACAAGAAATTGTTTTAGGAAAAGGAATTTAGAATGTAATTATATACACATCTAATCAGAATTAAATCCCACCAAATTAAGCATATCTTACAATCAGGTAAGCATGATAGCATTACTGGCCAAAAAACTACATTTTTTTGCTTTCATCACTAGAAAAATGTGACCTTAAGGGCTTCAAAACTTTGCACAAAATAAGTCATATGGGGCAAAACAGCAACACCAGTTACCAATTGTTCTTGCAACAAGAGATATTTTGATTAGATTCTTCCACTTGCCCAGCCTGCCCCAAGCTTTCAAAGCATTCTATATTAAGCAATTGTGTGTTTTGTTTTCACAGCAGAGGTTAGTGATATCCCTGCCACTTACATCATTGTTTCTATGGCAACAAAATATACATCAGAAAGCAGAGGCTTTCATTTCGGTGCAATAAAAATAAGCAGAATACCCCAAAAGAAAAGCATATAATGTTGGAAAAAGTTTTATTTCTACTTCAAATCCACACAATACTCCAGAACAACAAAAAGAATCCCAATAAATGTCAAATGCTTTGCTATATTTTGGACAATATCCATTTTCATTCCATTTTGAAGTTGCTTATTTCATCAATCATTCACTCCATAGAGTCTTCCTTTCTGAATGACATGTCACTATGGAAACAGTAGCTTTAATTTAGAAGACTGTAAAAGAGGAAATATGAAAAGAGTAACATAGTTTGTACATTGCACTGAAACATACTTTGGTTAGTTTAGATTTAGTATGATGTAAAGCCCAGTTTTCCAATAGAATACAATTAAGTATAGTGTGAGCCCAGCCTGTGTGTGTGTGTGTGTGTGTACGCGTGCGCGCGCAAGAGACTCTCCCTTGACTTTATCATAAATATGAAATAAAATGGAAACATCAATCACTGAGCTGCAACAACCTAACTGTATACACTGTATACACATTATGAGTTAAGTAAAAAATCACAAGGGAAAATCATTGTAATAATTTAAAACTACTTTTGTGGTTACATGAAAACGATTTTGACTCCCAATTAAATACAAGCACAGGGATTAAACAACTACCATTAACTATAGAAATGACATGACCAAAACTAGTCAATGTTGTAATTTCTTAGCTATTATGTATGCTAGTATTGGTTTTTATTACATTTAAATTCCAGTGTTACAGTTCAATTTAATATATTACTTTTAATGAAGGCATAATTGCTGTCCATGTATGAAATCTATTAATCTAGTGCTTTCTTTTCAACATGATAAGAGTCACATATTAATATATTCCCATTCTTCTAAAAAATACTATTGAATTTTATATCTGTGAACATCTTTCCTCTCTAAAAAGGGGAACAAAATCCACTCTTATTTTTTTCTCATCGTATTAAACAAACATACTTATGGTTTCTGCTTTGAAAGTCGTTTTATTTTCACATCTTTGAACCATCCATGTCCCTCAGAGAGATACTCTCACGTACAATAAACTCATGCTATAATAACAAGCAACGTAATGGTAGCAACCATATAACTGTGATATTTGGCAATAAAAGGACAATATTTACTTTAAAATATTTTAAAAGTTAATTGGACTGTATTTATTTTATGATACCACACAACACTTTCTGTGTTTAGTAAATGAACAAAGAAAGCATATTAATCTGAAAAATGGAACAGCATGTCAAAATTCATTCAGAACAGAAACCTGTGGATTTCACAGTGGGAAATTGGTTCAGTAAATTAAGAACTCACCATGCTTTCATTCTGGTTTCCACCCATCAAAGCCAGCATTCCCGTCAATGTACCTCATATACTGCTTGTCACCATGTCTTATTTTTAAAATCCTGGCTATCTTACAAGTGTTCAAAAGCAGTATTCTAACACAGATCTGCCATAATAATACTTAACTGAAGATTTTCCTTTACTTTATGACAATATGATTTTTAAATATAAATTACATTTCAACTTTCTTCTCCATAGAATCTTGAAAGCATTTCTGTATAGGACAGGTTTACAAAAGAATCTAATACGGTTGCAGTTTTCTGAAATGATTTTAAGAGGTCATGTGAAAGACAAGTACTTTCCATGCCAGATTACTGGGAACTAAGTCAGATGTGCAAGTTTATATACATACATACATACATACATACATACATACATACATACATACATACATACACACACATCTCTCTCTTTCTCTCTCTCTCTCTCTCTCTCTCTCTCTCTCTCTCTCTCTCTGTGCGTGTGTGTGTGTGGATGGGTGGGTGTGTCTGTGTGTGTACATGTAAAAGCACTGAATAGGTTATACTCTGTGTGAAAGCATTTAATACTTTTACATTTTTAAACACTGTGAACAATTTCATGATTTTGACTCTGCAGAATGTAAAAGACAGTAACATGTCATATAAATTCTGTTATGTCTAATAAGACACCTGAAATTATCAAATGCTTTGATATTGGAAAAAATATAAGGAAGGAAGACAAGCACAAAGTTTTGACATATTTTCTAAATATTTTATATCTTCTGCCAAAATAATATGCCTTACCTATATAAGAAATTAAAATGGACTCATATCCTTAAACATGGACTCATATCCTTAAACACACTGCCTTTCACAGTAATTCCCATAGATTCATTGTCCAGTTTCCTATGGAAAGTATATAGAACTGCTGCATATTATTCATTTCTGAATAATGTAATTCTCCTGATTTGTGGTATGAATAGGAAAACAAAAGGGATTTAATAGAGCTGTTTATATTCAACGCAGGACATACACAATTCTGGATATCAGATCTTTCCTTCCTAAAATCAGTTTACTGTACTTATAAATAGCTATGCTAGTTTGTTACCAACTAAACAGCACCTGGAAAAGCAAATTCAAGTTGCATTATTCATATTATTAAAATATTGAAATCTCTTTACATTTGGTGGAACTTACTGTAGTACCTGACAATAATGACACAATCTTTTGAAAATGTAGTCCAAACTCCTTGTTGATGAATAAAATCCATTATTATAGCAACTTGAAGCTGGCCAATTTGGGTTTACAATGCTACAATAAATAAATAGTCTGCCGCTTTCAAAGACAGCTTGTTTTTATTCTGGAATGGACTGTATCACGATGTACACATTCCTCATGGATAATTAACCTTTTTTTTGTACTTTACTGATCTGAAAAATAATTGGAATACTTTTTTTCTCTCTTCTGTTATCCCACACCTTTCTTTCCCTTCCCCATTTCTCTACTATCTTTATTTTCATTTGTATTTTATATTATGATAATCTAAATAAAATTTATATTAAAATGGATAAACTAATAATTTTACTGAATTGTATCAACTTGGTATAAGTTTTTGAAAACATTTTCTTCATTTACATCAAAGGCACATGTTTCTGTCACGGAAATTACATTCTTTTAAAACATTATTGGTGACAGGAAGATCCAGGACATATTTTTGACCCACTGGACAGCCAAGTAGTTTTAGTTATTTTGTTTTGCAGATTAAATTACATTAAGCCTATTCAATTCTTCAACTTTAATAACAAAAATCTAACAAACAGCAAAGTCAAACTGAAATAACTGAGTTTGACTATGGTTGCACTAGAAATCAAGAAAACTATACTGAAAGAACAGATTGAGGAATTGCTGATTTTAGTATAGTAATACTATTGGATCAAGTATGATTAGACAAAACTATACATATTGTTTATTCAAATTGTATTCTGAAATTATATAGAAAAGTTGAAGGTATTTTGTTTACAACTGAGTTACATATTAGAGTTGTATTCTACACTTACAAAGTAACCACTGTAGGAAAGATATGAACTTTTAAAGAGCATGTACAATATAAAAATCAAAAGTCAGGCACTTGCGGTTTTTTTCAGGCTAAAAGGAGAGAGTTCCACCAACACCACACAAGGCAAAGAAGGTTGATAAATTGTTATACAAAAAAAAATGTCCTAGTTTCCTTTTTTATAAAGGCACTTTATATACAGATAGAGAAATGGTTAATAATCCTGTTAGCCTCAATTTTACCATTAAAACACTTTGATACAAATGTAAGTGCATTTTCTGTATTAAGTCAGTATATATTGCTTTTCTACAATTATTTGGTACTGAAAGAAATACTGAATTTACACTCTACTTCAGAAATTATCAGATGACATCATGATGTCTTAGCCATTTGGAACAAAAATATCAAATTATTTTCTTCACATGAATAGAAATCTGTCAGAAGTGGGTTTGAAGTCTTTTATTTTCTTCACGCAATTTTTCAATTTCTGCTACTAAACTGTCATTTATAGAATATCTTTCAAGTAAGGCATGCATTTCATTCTAGAGAAAAGAAAAGAAAATCAACAGAAGAATTAATGTTAAATTACTGTTAAATATAAAATTTTAACAGCATCATTTAAAAAGTACATTAGGGGGTTTTTTAGAGAAAGGTAGACTTTATATTTGTCACAAACAACCCAAAATAACCAAAACAGAGTAATGTTGTCACATTCTTTATTTTTTAAGTAAACCACCAACCTGGAAAAGACCATTGCTAGACCCGACAATCTTGGACCATTTTTGTCCTGGCTCCAACCTCCCCCTTTTAGGTTGCTGAAAAGGTGGCTTTCTTAATGTTTGGCTCTACATCCATTATGGCTAACAGTAAAGGATTATGGAGTTGCATTTTAAAACATATGGACTGCCTGCCCCAGATTTAGAGTAATAAAATATTAAGCACTGCAATGAAAGGGAAGTTTGTCAACATATATGTACACCTCTTTATATTTGTATACATACCAACTGAACATGAAACTGTTTGATCATTTCTACTTGCAAATTTACAATGTCACGATGACAAGCTTCCCTGAGAAGAGAAAAATACCAATTTATGTCACAAGTCTAGACTTTTTTTCTTCAACTCAGAGATTTACTACTACACAGGTAATTTCAAAATGATAAACTATCATCCCACTATATCCCCTCACTTCAGTGTTAATGTATTTCTTTGATGGAACCTACTAGAAATAAGAGGCTATTAGAAAGGAGACGGTTTCTCTTCGTCTTACTGCATTTCCAGTGTCAAGTACCCAATATGACAGCTAATGCATCAGGCTTCTAAATTACTCTGATAAATGGAATACAGAGAAAAACATCTGTTTATTTGTAGGAAATTCTGCAAAATATGTATAATTCTATAAATATTTCTACAAAATACAATTTTTGACATAACAAATAAGAAATTGTATGTTTTGCTGCAGCCATAAGCTACACATCAGTTTGTGCATGTGAGCACGCATATGTGTGTGCATATGCACAATACAGTTAGCTGAATCCTAAATTGGAAACTGGAGAAATTGACTATTTTGTTTCTTTCTTCTTAGGAAACATGTTGCAGTGTTCACACTACTTCAATGTCTTAGGCTGTTTTTCTCCCCCCACATACCCTGTTTTATATCTACAAGTATTAAGTAATCCCCTAAATTAGAAATCTTCCCATAGATTCAAAAGTGTGTAACTCGACTATTAGTATATGGAATACTCAATACCAGTACCAATGCACTAAAAGAGTCTGTTTATTATTTATCTTGAAAAAGATTGGATATAGAAGCCTTGCCAAAAATGTAGATCATTATTTTCAAACACTTGGTAAAATAATTACACTGCTTAAAATATTTGCTATATTTTAGATACTAATTGAAATAAATACAAATAGAAAACATTTCTTTTAATTCTCAATAGTTTTCCACAGAGCTACTTCTTCTAATAATTTTTTTAAAAAAGAAAATTGTTGTCTTCTAAATTTTTGTTGCATTGGTTACAGTGTCCACTTGCCTAGTTTAGACAATAAAGCCATCAATGAATGCATGATGACAAGGGATTCTTCAGTTGGATTGTTTCAGAACATTATGCTGTTCTATGGTCGACAGGAAGAGATTATCATTCAGTTCCCTGCTAAAACTAAGGGTTGGTTAATCTAGCTCCTTCACCACTACAAATTAGTTCTCTGGTTATTACAAATGTAATAGCAATATGTATCAAATAAAAGAAACAAAGTATTACATGCATCCAGTTTCTATAAGCAACTTTCAGGTGAGGCAATGTTCAATATAAAACACCAAAAGGAGTTAGTTGTACTTTGATATGTCAGTATTTATTTTTGTTCTAGAAAATTGTGGATCCAGATAAAGGAACATAAAAGATTTAAAAAGCAAGTAATATTCTATAGATAAGGAATATTACTACCAACCATAGAGGAAGACCTGTGATTAAAGGAGCATCAGCAGTGCTTTAGATAAACAATGTGATATAAACCTATTGAGCTTTAAAGTTTATAGTATTTGCAGTAGTTTTCTGGAATCCTATGTACATTCAATAATCGAAAATCTGAGCCATCACCCACCCCACAAAATACTGCTCTACAAGAGTTCTCCTGATCACTGACCATACTGGCCATGACTTCTAAACACCGGAGTCCAATAGCATCTAAAGAACATGATTTCTCCAATTATGCTATAAACCTTTTCCAGATTCATCACCACTGCAGGGGTCTCCTGCATTCTTTGTTGGGGGGGGGGCAGGGTTCTTATGGAATCAATGCAGAAATTACAAGAATGCCACAAAAATACCATCCCAAGGTCTTTCCCTTGAGAATTAGTACTGTAGTATATTTAACAATTTTCATCTTCTTCAGGACCTAAGGTATTTTCTCTTAAGCAAATTGACGAGGAGATACCTACTGATGAATGAGCAGGGAATTTCATGAGTGAGAGCCCGTAAAAGTTATATAAAGATAGGAAAAGATTAACTAGAATTTGCTATGAAAATGGCATTAGCAGCTGTTTCAAGACTAACATAGAACATTATTAAGGCAGTCATTTCACATTCAGAAAAAAAGGCCTGTTTCACTCTTGAATCAGGGCACACCAAATTCAGAACAGTTCAGTTTTGAAATAGTTTATATACAACATCTACTAAGTCGTAAAGCTCATGAAAAATAAATGTGTAGAAAAATATGGTAAAGTAACATATGAATCTAATTCTCTTTACCTGAAATCATCCAGAGTTTCTTGTATCATATTCTGAATGAAATGAATTTGTATTGATGATAAAGGTGCATTCGATCGGCTGTTTCCAATAGTATCTATTATTTTTTCAGATAGTGTACTAGCAACTCCAGAAGTAATATTGGAAGATATCTTCGGATCTATGCAAAATAATCAAGAAGCATGAGCATTTCATTTTTACAGGAATAAGAAGAATGGAAGTAGCCTGCAAACTAGAATATCAAAAAGACATCTATAGTTACTCTTACCATGTCATTTCTCATCATCAACTATACTGCGAAGTAAGGAAGAGTTGTAAGAATTCCTCACTCAGCGTACAAATTTAGAGCAAGCTTATGACTAAAACATTAAGGATAAAACCTTGAAGAATACAAATCAAAATCTAATACATACTAATGAAGACACTATCTGGAAATTATACTGTGTTCATAAGAGTTAGAAACTTAGATTATGTGATATTACCTTTCAGCTCAGTAATGTAGTCGTTAATGGTTTAAAGAAAGATTTTAAATTACTATTGAAATATAACAGCATTTTTAAAAATGTGGGCATCTCTTGAATATTATACCACAAAAGTGGGAATTACACATACTTGTTGAGGTAGTACCATTCATTGGTGATTCATATAAAAGTTGTGTCTGGGTATTCTTAATAAGTCTTTCTCTGGAATCAGGACTCTTGATTAAATTGGCAACAGGTGGAGTATTCAGGGTTGAAGAATCAGAGCTTGAGGAGCTCAACTACAGCAGGAGGGATAGAAAATACATGTATTAATAACCCATAACATTGTAAAAGAGGATAGGGGAGACCTATCAAAGTACAATAAGTGATTATTTTTGCTACTAGCATGATTGTTGCAAGGTAATAGTTTCTCTCTTATTTGAATGCCATTTTATCACATGCTAAGACCCATTTGAAATCCAAATCACTGACAGCTATTCTTTCCTCAAACGCAGTAAGTATATCTAAACTGCTTATTAAAACTTTCAAGAGGAAGTACACAAGGCTTTTGGGTTTTGTCTGCTTATTTTTAAGAATCTATATCTGTTCTTAGCTTATCCATGCAATATCAGTTTTTATATACAGTAGCATCTATAGCATCTATCTATTTTTAGTTCTGTTCTCAACTATGCTTTTTAGTTACATTTTTATATTATTTTATGTTGTTTATAAACTGCCCAGATTCATTTAAGTGAGATGGGCAGTGTACAAATCTGATAAATGAATAAATAGGGAAGTGAAAACAAGTACTGTAAAATAGAGATATCAAGCAGCACCCACCCCTTTTGCATCACTTGATAAAGCACTGTACTGATAAACTGTCATGCTGGGACAAAGTGTCAAACTGTCAAGCAAGCAAGTATCATAGTTCTGGCATGTTGGAATCATTCAAGAAAGCAAGGCCCAACCTTTGGGCAGCCTTCATCATACCTTTCCTTCTAGGACCCAATAATAATAATAATAACACCTGATAGCTCCGAAATGAACAGAAAGAAAAAGTTGTGTACATAGTCACAGTGTTCCTGATCTATCTTGTTATAAAACTGATGCGGATGTAATATGATCCAATCTTAAAGTTCCTGTAAGATTGTATGATGGATGATGTATCAGCTTTTATGTATTATGCAAAAGGAGAGAAGTTGAAAGCAAAATAAAAGACAAAACTGTAATCACACTATACCTGTTTGATGTGCTCATTGGATTCTTGTTTTCCATGATTTGTTTTTTTAGCATCAATATCTAGATGCTCATCTTCCTCTTTAATGGGGGAGCCAACAAATATATTAAGTGGACTTGAATGAACAATTTGTGGATTTGATCCTGCTGGATTTTTTCTTGTAGGTAAAGCATTATTAAACTGAGAGAGAAAATCCATGCTTAAAAGATAAGACTGAAAATCCAAACCTATAATGCAAAGCAAAAGATCACATATTTGCATTGCTTACTTAAAAACGTTTCTGATACATAGTCAAAAGTCTTTTGAAATAGTATTTTAGTTCTACAATACTGCTACTATCGTTATTATAACAGAAGGTGGGTTATAAAAGGTGCTTACCATCATTCTTTCCTGGAACATCTTCATTTGCTTTACAAGCCGCAATATCTAGAACAGATAAAGTGATATTGACAGTATCAAGAAGAAAAAAACCCAATACATTCTGTTTTCTAAATCATGAGCTATTCCACCGAGTTTGTATCATTTACAAATATAATAAACATTCACACCATCTCTTCATTCAAATCATTGATAAAAAGTACTGAACAAAAAAGGATCCATTTAGTATCTCCCTCCAATTTGATGAGAAATAATTGATGAGCATTCTTCAAGCAAACCTTGGGTCCACCTAACAGATTTGACTACAGAATGACTGTAACATTCTAACCATAAGAGTCAATAGGAGCAACAGTTCTAATGCAATAAACACAGTTCTTACTAATAAACAAATAGTTTAATTTCAGCATCAACATACCATCTCGAAGTGGAGAAAACAGGTCACCCAAACTATTTTTTCCCAAGTCTTCAAAATTAGTTGAATTAGAAGTATTCCCATGATCCAACTCTTTGGAAGGAATTACATCCAAATTGCTGCTCTGGGTCAAGCCTATAAGGGGAAAACATTTTTTTAAAGAAAAGAATTGCTTTGAGAATAAACTAAACTCTCATTCATGCAAGCAACTTCTGTTTTCATAAGCAATATAATTTGGTATATTGAAGAGTCATAGCAATAATAAAACAAGTTCAGCAGATTTCAGATAAGGGGTTTAGAGATTTCTAATAAGAAGCTGACCTTTAATAGATGGAATGCTGCCAAAATATGATTGGTAGCATGTTCCACACAACCAATGGGGCTTATTGTAGAGGAATTATAATTAATATTGATTTACAAGCAACAGCCATAACCATAACCAACCATTTACCAACCGTACCTGTGAATAACTTTGTGTGGACAATGAATATTAATAATTTTTGTGCCAAGCCACCCACAATACTGGTAGAATGCTACTTTCCTTTAGGCATTAATTAACAATACAGGAAGGGCTGATAGAAACATTTGCTGTCTGAATGAAGAAACATACCCCACTCATTGTATGTGCAACTGTAGTTGAGTATTTCTTCAGCATAAGTGAAAGTATCTGCCAGGGCACCTTAAAGTTATACATTAGTTTATGGGTGCTAATTGTAATGACTATCTCATTTTGTCTACTGATATTACTGGCTTTGAATACAAGATAGAACTGTTTTTCTGTAAATAAATATTTCTCAAAATCTCTTCCAAATCTTAAAAAAGGCATTATGCTGCCATCTAAATATATTTATTATATCTGTAATCAAGAGTTTTCTGGACAGATTACAAAATTATTCAAAACAGGAAAAATAATGAATAGTACAGATTACATTTAACACATAAAAAAATCATTATCTAAGCATTTGATATTTTTTAAAAACGCCCAATAGGAGATTCCATAAGCATCCATAAGTCTACAACTTTTTGCCTAGAATAGCACACTGAAAAGGCTCTCCAAAATTGACCAGAGTCAAAGTCAGGATTTTGTTATATTTTTAATGCAAATTTTACATAAGGTTATCTTTAAAAAGAAAGATATGCAATTTTCAAAAAGAAAGATATTGGTGAAACTACTTTAATCAAAATAGGAAAATGTTCTAAATATGCTATCTTAAGAGATAAAGAAACTTGTTTTCATATTTATTTAAAGCAGTGTTTTTCAAATTTGGCAACTTCAAGATGAGTGGACTTCAACATCCAGAATTCTCCAGCCAGCATTCTTTCAATTCTGGAAGTTGAAGACCATTCAATTTAAGCTGCCAAATTTGGAAAACACAGATTTAGAGTGATATCCTTGATTCACCAAACAAACACAAAAAACCTCACAGACTGAGGTTTACCAGAGTGAATAACTTTACATAACAAAAACAACATTTCAGTGAGGTTTCAGAAATGTTAAAACAAAATAATGAAATAACTTATACTGATTCTTTGGCACTTTTTGCATAACAGGATTTTTAAAAAAGAGTTTTAAAAAAAATTTTTTTTACCTGATTTATCTGGAATAGCATCAGTTCCTTTAACTTCATTACTTGGCATGGACTGGGGCAGGAAAGTAGCAGGTACATTAGATATAAGATTTTTTAAAATGCCAACATTCTGAATTCCTCCAGTATTATTTGTGGATTTGACACCAGATTTTTTGCAAGTTTGCTTACTTGAACTTGTTTTATGACTAGACTAAAAATAAAAATAAGTATGTCAGAAATATTCCAAATAAAATTATCTACAACTATGACTAGAATGTTAGCATCAATTGTAACATTTTTCATTCCTGTAAAAATAAACCATTCAAATTATTTTCAAGTTAAATGTTAAACCAGTATGATTGAGAATATCAGCTGTTTTGTAGACATAAAATCTGTACAATTTGAATACAATTAAAATGTAAAGATATTTCAAAGCTTAATAAATGTGCATGATTTGTTTATTGATTTACCATACATGGAAAATATTTAGTTTTTTTAATCAACGTTTCAACAATATATGCTCAAGGTGTTTTACCTTTGAAAAACTGTTACAATTCTGCAGTGTTATGCATTTCACAGAGGTTTTGTGAGCACTGACTGATTTCACAGGTGCTGTCAGCTTTCTTAAATCATAATGGTATATTTTTCCACGAGAGGAGCCAATAATCAGTGAATTTCCTTCAGGCATGAATTCTACTGCAGTTAGGGGAGATTCTGCTACTAAAGTTCTCAACTGCCTTTATATGTCAAATAAAGATATTGAACACAAAAGGAAAAAAATGTAAGAATGTTACATACAGTTTTTTAAATAAAAACTGTTATCTTATTGAGTTTTCTGTTAGGTTTGAGCGAATGGTTACATCTGTATATCTGACCCAAGATTATTCAGTGGGCTTCATGGCCAAAATAAGACCTGACACACACATTTTCCTAATAAATGATTATCTCTACCAATATGCCTATTTTATCTTTTTAGTTTTATTATTTATTCATCTTATATATAAATATTAATGCATATAAAGTTAATACACAAAGGTCATCATTCTTCTAGTGGAAACATGTCCCTAAAAACTGCCAGTCATGATACCTTCTCAATTTTGACAAAGATTCAAGTATGTGGCATGGCAAATTGAACTCTTGGAGTGAATATCCTATACCTTATTTGTGGTTTCTGCTTAGATTTTCTTCTCATACACTCCAACCATTATAGGTTCAGAATAAAAAACAGATTTGTGGTTTTCATTGTCTGGGACAGTACATAAATAAATATAAACTTCAGGGCATCAACATTGGATTTTCTCCACTTTTCCCATTTGATTTAATCAATCAATCTAATAATGAATTGCAGAGAACTTCAAATTCAAGATTTGACATATGAATAATCATTTTCAGGTTTCATCACTATAAGGTTACCTTTACTGAAGCAAACAAGATTTTTATATATGAAAAACATTCTAAAAACAATTTTCAAACATACTTTTCAAATTTACTTTTGAAATTAAAATGAGTTTAGTTTCATTAGAGAGTTCATGATGAAGGTTTTAAAATATTTTGGGTTTGATGTAAATTTGTTTATTAAATATATCGGCAGCCCATTTGTCAAGTGACTAGCTGAAAGCTGTTATTTATATTGTAAATAAGTACACTGACAATTATATATTTACCTTTTACTTGCTGTGTCATAGAGAATTATTCTTTTATCTAGACCTACAGTTACAAGCAGCAACTCACTGATGGGAGAAAAACAGATTTCATAAGCTGGAGCTTTATGAGAATTTTCAAAGTTATGGTACGGAGTTTGACTGTTGACATCCCATAGGGTTACAGTTCCACTGTCAGAGGCGCTGCCCAATAATGCTTTTTTAAAGGGAGAATATTTCAAATGGCGTATGGGCTGTAAGAAAACAAACAAACAGCATTCCATAATTTCTATTTCAACTGAAGTTTGGCTTAGCCAAAATCCAACTCTAAAAGTTTAAGTCAAAGTAATTAGTGGCACATGTTCAAAATGTTTAATGCGTAGGGAGTGCAAGCAAAGAAAAATAGAAATTTCTATAGCAGCCTATAAAGTAGCCAAGTCATCTGGAAAAAAATGTAACATTTTTAATTATTTAAAAAGAATTGTAACACTTACACATTTCATGGGATCTCTTTCAAAAAAACTGGCAAAACCTATCATTTCTTAAGAACTGAAGGCCTTTAAGGTGAGATATATTTTTCATTTCTGTCACTACTAAAAACATTTTATTTCATTTAGAAGTGTAGCACTTGTAATTTGGAAAGAATGGTGCATAAAAACTGGAGTGTTTTATTAAATGTCTTTCTAAATGAAGCTATTTCATAATCTCACCCATTTAAAAAAAGCAATATCTCTCACATTAAGACATAAGAGGCCAGATATAGTTGTTCCAATATAAAATCTATGGAAATACAATACAGGTAGTCCTTGACTTACAATAGTTCATTTACTGACCGTTCAAAGTTATAATAGCACTGAAAAAAGTGACTTATGACCGTTTTTCACACTTATGACTGTTGCAGCACATAATCAAAATTCAGACACTTGGCAACTGATTCATATCTATGATGGTTGCAGTGTCCTGGGGTCATGTGATCACTTTTTGTGACCTTCTGACAAGCAAAGTCAATAGGAAAGTCAAATTCACTTAACAACCATGTTACTAACTTAATACCTGAAGTTATTCATTTAACAACTGTGGCAAAGAAAGGTCATAAAATGGAGCAAACTCACTTAACAAATATCTCATTTAGAAACAAAAATTTTGGGCTCAATTGTGGTTGTAAGTTGAGGTCTATTTATTTACAACAAATTGCTGCATAGGCTGTGATTGGAAAAAGCACTGGTGCATTTGCAAAAGGACTTTCTGTGTATATTATTCCCATTTTCACATATTATGAAAAAGCATAAATCCTAAAGCAGCATTTTAATAAAAATTCCACCCTTGGATGTCACCAGGAAAGAGGAAGACATATTAAAGATGGCTTAAAGTATTAACTACTTTGTAAGACACTACCCAACAGTCTGCCCAAAGATGTGTTTTTATTTTTTCTCAGGATTTTTCTTTTGTTTGTTGCATTTGTTGCTAGATATGGCCTATTTTCAAATTTACTATTCTGCCAGTTTCTTGTCCCACACAAAATCTGGCCCTGTTTATTTAGTTTTGGAACATTGAACAATAAAGTTCTCCCCTCTTTTCCTTAATGATTTTCCAACATTATGTTGAGTTGAAAAGAATAACAAGTTGGAAAAAAACATGCAGAACATGTCTTGGTATCATATAGACTTGTATCAAAGCACAGCAACCTATTTTTTTCCTTCCCAACAGCAATCCTATGGCAGAGAACTGGGCAATGCCACCTGAAAGAACGCGGGGGTTCAATTCAAGAGAATCTTTCAATTCTCTTAGGGATGTACTGGGAGATATTTTTCCCGTCTTCAGACCCTAATCAGAAAAAGTCATTTTTAAAATATATAGACTTTTGCTACCACACAAATTAGGTCCCAGTTCTCCTGCAGAGGAATAGAGTTCTGAGCTCTTTTACTTTATTTATTTCCAACATTCTGTCAGGTTGGAAAGAGTGAAAACAGTGGGTCACAGGCATGGTTTTTCACTAAAAAGCACATTTCCTCTTGTGGCTCAACACTGTGGTCATAGCATAATATATAGCATTCAGAGAAGAGATTGAAACTGACACAATATCCAGTACTGAGAAACAGAAAAGTAGTACCTGAAAAACCTTTAACTGAACGTCAGCACTGATACCACATCTTTATTACAAGAGCAGCCCTTTCAAATGTTTAGTCAGCAAGTCTGCCATATAAGTTTCACTGGAGTGACATGCAATTAAAATTTAACAACTTTTCCAAGGTAGGCAATTCTGCAATAACAATGGAAACTTTTGAATCCTGACAAGAATGCCAAGTTTAGTGTCTCCTCTTTATTGCTATTTTTTTTCAAGACAGAGGTTGTGATTTAGCAAGATATTATGAAGCTAAAATTGATGGAATAATGCCTTTTTTAACTGCATGCATTCTTTGTTAACATGAAACATACTTTCAATGAGATTATTTTCACAATCCTTCATATATTAGACATTTAGCATGTTTTGAACACACATTTAAAAACAGTGTGCAAAAATGCTAGAAGAATCTGTGGGGGACTGGGGGCTACTAGATTCTCTCTACCTCCACAAAGTCTGTTGACTACCTCTTCGTAATTAGAGGTGGAGAATATTTTTATTATAGTGTTACATTTATATCCCACCTTTATTTACATATTTTAGAATACACAATGCCTCTATCACCTATTTTTCTTGCAATAACCACCCTGTGAGGTGGATTGGACTAAGAAAGAGTGGTTCAAAGTCATCCAACCAAGCTTCCGTGCCTAAGGGATGACCAGAATTCAATCTCTCGGTTTCTAATCCTTTGCATTTTAACCACTGTTCCAAACTATAACATATGCATCTTTCAAAGGTTAAAATGAACATGCAGGGTTTTGAAACAGCTATACAAGAAAATCAGAAGTATCAGAGTAAGCCCATTTACTGTTGGAAAATGGTGTTGTCAACACACAAACACACACAGAGATGCCATTTTAAATTAGGCTACTTCTTCAAAACTTTAGAAATCACGGGTAAAGTTTATATGAGGAAGGAGAAGACTTTAAATATTTTGTTCCAGTGTTTTCATGTCCTATTATAAAAAAAATTCTTTTCTACTTTACTTTGTTCCATCTTATACTTAAAATAAATAATTTATTCAGTTGGAGTTTCAAATAAAGCAGAAAATCTGAAACCTTTAATGTTTCTACTCATAAATTGCATTAAAAAGAATGAATAATTTCATTAGCATCATATATTTTATATAATTATTTAAATTTCATTTACCAATATCATAACAAATAATCCTAATTTCACTTTCATCCCTGAGTCATAAATCCCTATATTTTACAATAAGATGGATCTAGATTTAAGAGCAATTGAAATTTTGTTCAGCTGGCTATAATGAAAAGTTATAAAAGTTACAAATGGCAAAATAAACCACAGCCAGGAATTTAAACTACACACAGAAAAGTCCAATTAATATAATCCAGCTATATGTCTTTTAGCACCTTGTCACTAAAACTGCAATCTTTCATTCCTACTTTCATTGCTCTGGTCTTTAAACAAAATCACATTGTCTATCAATAACTGTCAGACACAGTTTCCCAAATAAGCCACACATAAAGCAAGCAATGACAACTTTATTAGCTCTGCTGTGAGGTGGCTTTTTAAAAAAGAGCAAACTATTAAAAAGTTTGCATCAATATAACTGACGGATGATAACAACAAATCAAAAACATCAAAGTTTCTTCAAACTGGGATTTTGCTTTTAATGAACACAATGCCACTATCGTATCTTTTGCAAAGTTGTGCTGTGTAATATTTAGTTTGTTCAGGTTACTGAAAATGAAAAGCAATATTTCTTATAAGAAAGATGCAATAATATACCTAAAAATTAGTTATACCATTAGCATCTGATAATTTTTCCCTGCTTTTCTGTTAATGTTATATATCAAAAGAATCCCACATTTTCATACATATTACCCTGTAAATTTTATTCAATTAAAATTAAATAGAACCAACCAACTTTCCACTTATGTACTTAATCATTATCCCCTTTTGTCACAAATTAGGCGTTTTCTTACCTGAACGCCTTTTCTCAGCACGGAGATGGAGAATCCACCAATGGGTTTAGATTGTATTCCTGCCCAATCAGATCAAGTCAGCCAAAGTTGCCATGCCTGTCCTAGACCATAGAGATCCCAGTCTTGATGCGAGCGTAGCCATTGACTGACAGCAAGACGTTGTGGCTCACAAACTAAAACTAACCCTAGGCCTAGATGACCTACAAAGGTGGAAGTGGATTCTCCATCTCCGTGCTGAGAAAAGGTGTTCAGGTAAGACAACACCCCTTCTCCAGCACTGGAGATGGAGAATCCACCAATGGGACATACCAAAGCGTACTGTCCCTGAGGATGGGAAGTAGACCGGTCCAGTGTGGCATTTTGCTGTACTACTTGTTGAAGAACCCTCCTATCGAAGGAAGTCTCCACCTAGGCAAAACTATCGATCTTGTAGTGCCGTATGAAAAGAAATGATGAGGCCCATGTGGATGCCCTGCAGACGTCCTCAATGGATGCCTGGGAAGCCCATGCCGCAGAAGTAGCTGCAGATGGGACTGTGATGGATAAGAACAGACGCACTACAGGGTACGCCTGGAATCCATATGGAGCTGTTATGGATAAGAACAGATGCACTACAGGGTACGCCTGGAATCCAGAAAAAAACCTTGTTGACAATTTGGTACACCAGAACCACCAGATTAAGGTATGAGTCAGGTGAGGCCAGGAGACACCAAGTTCGAAAGGACCAATGATAATAAAATCTAAAATTGCAGTGATGAATATATATGAGACTCATGATCAATGTGTCTGAATAGAGCATAGGTGGAGTGAAGATAAGATCACCAACTGTGTCCTAAAAAAAGGGGGGCAGGTGCACCTGGGGTGGTTAGGCCTCAGATTAATGGTGGGCCTATCTGGCAAACAAAATGGTGGCCGTCCCCAAAAGGGTGGCCTGATTGACAACGGTGGAGCTGAGAATTTGCTCCCCCCAAACTACTTGTCCTAGTGCACCTTCCCTTACAGAAAACCCCCTTTCGTCAGAAAAGATGCCTGCAATGAGGAGGAAGGACCCCCTTCCTCCAGTATTTTTGCTGCATATTTAAGCGGAATCGGTCAGCTTCTGCACCCACGTGGCCCAAGATGGCAGCCGTGCGTGAAGAAGACAATGGACCTGCCGCGGCCCGAGAGACTCCGTGGGAGGCGCTGACGCAGCCCGTTAGTGCTCCCGTGCCGAGAAAGTTATCTGCACCCCAAACTTTGCACAATGGCCAGAAAAGAAGATTTGAGTATTCTCCCCTCTCCAATCAGCCACCTAACAGCTCATCGGCGGTGGCTGTTTGGCGTGTGGCTCGCCTATGGACTGGAAGCGACGATCGCAGCTCCCTAAACACTGAAGGCAAAAAAACAGGCGAGTGGCTTAAGCAACTATCGGAGCTGCAGCCGCAGCTCCAAGAGCGCTTGTAAACGTGGGATTCCCAAGGGAAAACCTTTCGACGCAACAACAAAAAAACCTCCTCCCACCTGCTCTCATAACGAGGCACTGCAGGCGAAAGCTCCAGCAGCAAGAAGGCCGAGCTGGAATCAGTTGGGGACTAACAGTCGTTAGTCCACAGATGGGATAAACGAATTGAGAGGCTTTGGGGAAGGCCTATTTATCAGGGTGGGGAGAAGAGGAGAAATAAGACGAGAAAGGAAGGAGTCCCTTCCTTGGACACTCAGTTTCTGTCTTTCCCCCCTCCAATCAAAGATCTTTTAAATTGGGAAATTTAAAATGTTCCTTAATGGAGATCAATTTTTTAATAATCCAAATCCTGTGTTGAATACAGCACATCTCAACAACTGGGGAATTGGAAAATCCACCAATGGAGACTGTACTTGCCTAAGAGCCAACCTTGCACGTCTGTCCTGGGCGAGATCAAGTCAAGACTGGGATCTCTATGGTCCAGGACGGGCGTGGCAACTTTGGCTGACTTGATCTGATTGGGCAGGAATACAGTCTAAACCCATTGGTGGATTCTCCATCTCCAGTGCTGGAGAATATGATAGCATCATTTGCAGAAGGTACTCCCAGCTTTTGAAAGCAGTATATAAAATTGGTGCTCAACTTGTATACACCTTCTGTAAGATTACCATAGAATTCATTCATGGCACTAGGAACAGATTGCTGTGTCACTGATACATACCTGTGAGCTTCCATGACCAAATGGAGTGCTGGATAAATTTGTAGCGATACTATGCAGGATAATTTCACCACTCATGGATCCTGAGGCAATATAGTAATCATTCCAATTAAATGACACACAAGTTATTTCATCTCTATGATCCTGAAGAAGAAAATATGCAAGAATTAATTTAGTACAACACTCATGTGGCTCTAAGGAAAATTTGAGATTACATAATCACTATTTTAAATGGCAATAGCCTCTTTTATGGGAGAAACCTCCACAGAACCAAATGGGATTTATATTTTAGGGTTTTTTATTATCAATATTTATACACCACATCTATGCAAGATTTGTCCTGCTAAATGCCCCCTGATTATTCATATAATGTCTCCTTCCTCTAATCAGAGTACCTCTGGATCCTTCCAGACTTTTCCCTATCTTTCACTAAGAAAGATGCAAATCAGGTGCAAACATATCCTTAAAAGGAACCACTTCAACCATTCTTTTTACTATAATCTCTGCAGGAACATATAGAGCTTTGATCCCTTTTCTCTCTACTTAGGGAAGGATCCAGCTCTTGCGTCCAAACTTCCAGATCGCTTTTCCTATAAAGTTTCTCCATATTGTATCTAATTATACATCCTCACATATACATTCACTGCACAGTACTGAAAGCATACAATACCAAATAAATTATATTTAATTGTTATCCTACCACTGATCCTTTTTCATTCTGACAGAAGCTGTTATTGGAAGTATATGTCGATTTCTAATAACTGGGTCTTCTCTGTAACTCCAGATGCCATCCAAATGATTCTGAAGGCTTTATAACTTTGGAAAAGGGCAGGGATGACACACGGATATAAAGGAAAACTTCCCATGATCACTGGTTGGGGTAATATGACTCTTTTCTACTAAAGTAGAAAGTTGAAAGCCTTCAGAGATCATACTGTCACGCCTTCCCTCCTTACTAAATATAAGTAATTTGATTTGAAATATTTGTTTCCCCTGCCAGTTAAAATATAGTTATTTTATATTGGTAATATCTCCAGGGAAATTTTTTGAATTGTAAAGCGATGTATCAAATGTCTGATAAATTCCTAGAATAATTTGCATTCTAAAACAGAATAATCCCTAAACAGTGCAATACAGTACACACTGATATGAATCCACATCCAACAAGTTATGCTAGAATATTTGGGGGGCACAGAGAAAATGTCTAACGCCTACCCAAATCTGCTAAAGCAACCATGTGCACTAAGAATGTTGCTGACCATAATAACATCAATTTTTATTTTTTTTTAATTGACACTAATCTGCAAGATAATGACGATGGTTAAAAAAAATAAGAAGGCAAAACATAAGCATCAAACATCAACACAAAACCCTAAGGATATATCAAATTTAACCAATGCCATTCAACAAAAGAAAAGATTAAGAGGAATGAAAATTTGCCTCTGAAGCAAGTGATAGCAATGACTGTTCCTGAACTATTGTTGCATATTTACTATTCACCTTTAGCACAGAATGGTCTATCTAATAACTATCAATCCAAACTATAGTGATGGGACTTAAGCTTTATCAAAACTTTATCAAAGATATTAACTGCAATATCTAGCTCTGATAAACTTCACTTTTCTAGATGGCGACGAGCTTCACTCTCAAATTACTGAATGCTTCCTCACATCAAACAGAGAGGGTCTTCACTAATATCCCCAGAGCCTTACCCATTGGCCAGACCTTCCAAAAATATCAAAGGCTAGACTGTAATAGAGTGGGACCTATATTACTTCAGACTGAAGTTCTTCAGGCTCTAAAACCTAACAATATTTTGTAATAGAACTGAAATTATCCATTAGTAAAGAAATATCCACACACATACAAAACTGCCATTCCCAGAGTTTACAACATTTTGCAAACATAAACATTGTATTTTAATACAATGCAGTGGCAAGAATTGCTTTGCTTCCATAGTGTTATTAATGATATTTACGTAACAACTGTAAGTCTTCCCTATAATCCTAAATTTGCATGTACACAAATGTCAAAGTATTATGTTCCCAAACAGTTACTTAAGGAGAAATTCATTACCATTTTGCAATTATAGAAAACGGCACAGAAATTAAATTCCATAATCAAAGAAAAATAGGTGCACAGAGATTAATAACAGATTAGGATTATCTGCTCCCAAATCCAAAAGACTGTAGTTAAACTATTGTAACTATACTTCGCTATTTTTCATTAACTTCTTTTCCAGGCCAATCTTATATTTTAATTAAAACACTTGGAACACTTTATAAATATACATAAATACTGAAATAACTTACACTCTTGTGTACCAATACAGGTAGTCCTCAACTTACGACCACAATTGAGCCCAAAATTTATGTTGCTAAATGAGAAATTTGTTAAGTGAGTTTTGCCCCATTTTACGACTTTTCTTGCCACATTTGTTAAGTGAATCACTACAGCTATTAAATTAGTAACACAGTTGTTAAGTGAATTAACTTTGCTTGTCAGAAGGTCACAAAAAGGTGATCGCATCACCCTGAGACACTGCAACCATCATAAATGTGAGTCAGTTGTCAAGCATCCGAATGTAAATCACATGGCTATGGGGTGCTGCAATGGTCGTAAGTATGAAAAATAGTAATAAGTCACATTTTTCAGTGTCGCTGTAATTCTGAACAGTCACTAAGCAAACTGTTTAAGTTGAGGACTACCTGTATATCTGAGAAACACTTTTTATTTATTTCTTAAGAGATAAAACCTTTCATCGGGGCAATGTAAAATAGCACATCCTTCTTTAATTTCTATCTGCACAATAACTATGAGGAGTAGGCAACGTTGTGAGAGAGGCTGACTGGCCCAAAGTCACCTGGTGAAACTCTATGGCTGAGAATCAACCTGAATCTAGATCCCCCTGATCCGAGTCCAACATCTTAAGCAGAAGACTCTATTTCACTTTGCTAAATTACACTACACCACATCACAACAATTGCATTTATCTCACTCTATGATGTGAGAGATTTATTCAGATAAAATAAGAGTATCAAGGTCAGTTGAAAGTATCAGATTTAGATTTGGGAAGATGTATAACTTTTCCATCTCGGCAATAATTGCTTATTACTTGACTGTAAAGTCTGTGTAATATAATTATTTAGCACCACTGCTAAATAGCTATCATTCTGCTAGCAAAAAGACATCTGTGATGTAAAATATGAGTTACATTTTGATATTTAAAGATTGGAGTATAAACCTAAAAGTTTACAGGTGATATTAATCTCATATATATTAAATGACAAAAGAATTCCATAATACAATATTGTATCTTACCTTAAGTGATCGGTGAAGTTTTCTGTATTTTAAATCCCAGATATTAACAGTGCTATCAATTCCTCCACTTGCAATATACATTGAATTCGAACTCAAGCTTATACATGTTTGCTTTGCCTATTTGGCAATAAATTAAAAAAATAACCATCAAGATAATATCAACAGCAATTTTAAACTAAGATAAAAATTAATATAATCTGAGGCACTAATATAGATCTGATTAAAATAAATGACATTTTGCATTTTAATGAAATGAAGAAAAGTGTTCAACAAATATAACACACACAAAATAAAATGGTATCTTCGTGATGGATTATTCAATATATAGTTTGAATTAATTTACCAACACCATACCACAAAATTAAAGTTAGTATGGGCCAATAAAAGCCCATTTTGATGTTTTCCCATTAATATCAACTAATTAGTTTCATTAATTAGATTTATAACCTGCTTTTCCTCAATGAACTCATGGAACTATACACTGTACTTTTTCCTTCTATTTCCTCCCCACAACAAGCCTGTGAAGTGGTCTGCTTGACAAAAAGTTGACGGGTCCTAATCTCTTCAGCAAGCTTCTGTAACTGAGGTTGAATTTAGTCCAACACCTTAACCATTTTATTACTTTTAGCAGCAGAAAGATTAAAGACAAATTATAGTAATTACCTGCTCTTTCAACAATGTACTATGTGATTGATCAGTAATAATTGTTCTGGGTGCTTTTTAAATAGAAAAGAAGGATCAAAATATTTTAATTAAATAAATGAAAATGGATGTCTGAAATAAAAATCATAGAACTAATAAATAGCAGCCTGTCTACCAAAGTGTATATTAAGTGGTCCATGAACACTTTAATTTATATTGCTGAATAATCATCCATTCTCTTTCATTGCTTTTCCCTGCAGCCTTCACACTGTGAAGAAGTTTGAAGCCAATTATACATTTCCTTTGACAAATGAAACAATTCTTTATTTTATAAAAATAGACACCATATAATTGTATACAAGACTGGAAACAAATCATTTAGGTGAGTAGAGTCATAATGTGGCAACAACAAGCTAGTGTTGGCCAATCCCAAAAAAGCTATGCCAGGTCAGAAGAGGTTAGTGCTTAGATAAGAGCCAATCAAGAAATCTTAAGGCTATAGATTAGAAGATTCTCTTCTTCCAGAATATGTTTTTTCAATGAAAAGCAAGTTTCACAATGTTAATAAAATCATATCACCAGGAGCTGAGCTTAACTCAAAAAAGCTTGGATGGCTTTCTATAGAACTTAAGCCATTGTGGATTATAACAGAAAAGGCACTGCTTTGGGAATACCACTGACAAAAGAACATTCACTCAGAAATGTGTACTGGTTCTAGATACTATCAGAAAGATATTACTAAGAGCAGAGAGAAGAAAATGTCATAGTTAATAACAGCATTAATAATGAAGGCAGCATTAATAATGTATTGCAGAACATTTTAACCACACAGGTAATAATAGCTAATAACATAGCTATAGACAATAGGAATTATGATTACGTAATTTACTATAATTTATTATAATTATAAGAAACAGCAGAAAGTTCTAAGTTCCAAAACTACAAAGAATCAAGAAAACATTGCTTTTAAATGGGTTGCAACTTAATCTGATGTCCAATAAGAAAAGTGATCATAAATCTTACATATGACTTGTTTTAAAAAAGGTTTAGAACAGATTATTTCAGCCATTAGTAGCTGAGACAGAGCAAATTATTGTCCAAATGTGAACAATATTCTAAGCTGGAGTTAATCTAAAATTGAAGAAGAGTTTTCTAATCTCTACTAGTGCTTATTGAGTAATGCAGCGTTTCTCAACATTTGTGTGACGGCAACCCCCGTCACACAAACGTGCCATGCATGCGCGGCGTCCCCCATGCGCGGCGTGCATGCGCGGCGCCACCCCGAGGGGGGAAAATGGCGGATCGCATTGTTTGGCGACCCCCGTAAAATGGTCGATCGACCCCAAATGGGGTTGCGACCCATAGGTTGAGAACCGCTGGAGTAATGAATACTGTATTATAGAACAGCAACAAGTGGTTCCTGGATTGTTTACAATATTTCCTTGATTTGATTTTAGAGTACCAGGTTTTGTTCTAGACCAGGGGTAGGCAACCTTGGCTCTTTTATGACTCGTGAACTTCAACTCCCAGAATTCCTGGCTGGCTCAGGAATTCTGGGAGTTGAAGTCCACGAGTCATAAAAGAGCCAAGGTTGCCTACCCTTGGTCTAGACCAGGGATAGGCAACCTTGGCTCTTTTATGACTCATGGACTTCAACTTCCAGAATTCCTGAGTCAGCATGCCCGGCTCAGGAATTCTGGGAGTTGAAGTCAATGAGTCATAAAAGAGCCAAGGTTGCCTATCCCTGGTCTAGACCAATCCTTGTGAATTAGTTTTGCTGCTATTATATTCTTACGTACAAGTAGAGATCATATTTCATGTTTTTCATTTGGAACATTCTGTGCTAAAACCAGCAGGTCTTTTCCCCTTAATTTTTATTTTGGTGGAGAGGATAGTGAATAAAACTGTCTTACACATACAAATGCCTTATATCTTTGAATTCTATTCACAAAAAAGTGCCTTGAAGTGCAGTAGTGGTACCTATATGCACTCTTTAGAGTAGCCAATAATTTTTCAGGCCCACCCGACTGCTATATTATTGGGGGGGGGAGGTGGAAAGGTGTTACAATAAAGAATTGCAGTCAGATGCTACATTTGTGACCCTGCACACTCTGAAACATCCTTCTGCAACCAAATCTAAAACATAATTATGAATTTATATAAATATCTAAATAAGCATTATGTATTTTTGAAACAGAGAACAGATAGTAAGTAAAATTCATTTATTTGTAAATCTTATCACCTAAATCTAGAGGAGATTTATTTCTAGGGTAGCAATGCATAATCAGGAATATTACAAACACTTACGGAATTTGGGAACTTGAATACATATAAATAGCAATGCACTAAAAGACCACCTTTAAAAAAAGCTGTTCTACTTACCCCTTCAGCTAGTTCAAAGAGTGGAACTGGTTTTCCTTTATAATTTGAAATCACTATCTTATCACCAACAGCTGACGTTGTTACCAAAAAGTTATCTAAAATAAGAGTCATGGAACACAACATGTGTTTTTGTTTACGCAAAATTGTTTCAGTTGGGAAGAAAACCTCTTTTAAGTAGGTATTTAATCACAGACATTTCCAATTGAGAGAACTGTACTTTTTTCAAGAATTACTTAAAAAAAGATATAATTTATTTTGACAATGAACAGAAATTATGAAAAGTGTATAAAAATATTCTATTTTTGAAAAAATATATATATAAAGATGTGGCATTTGGTATTTTATCATTATTCAAGACTTTATGATAAGCTGATGATGTTTACAATATTTTCTATTCAACCCAATGAAACTATTTGCGTCTTTATTTTTCTTACTATCATTTTCTCAACATCACATTTCTGACTGAATTTGAAAAGTATATAGAACAAAATTCTGAATACCTGTGACTTATTTATAAACTGTTAATAAAATAAGATTCAGGAACAAAACAAGCCAAATATGGTATGATTAAATTTAAAGAAGACAATTAACGTGCAACATGGGAATATCTATGGAATTTACTATCAAATTTACTGCAAATATTAAACCCAAAGAAAATTATATATGATTGATGTTTTTTTAAAGATAGGTTAAGCTGATGCTGACTGCCAAAATAGGTAATTCATATAAAGAATTGTAGGAAATGTAGGATCATTGGTGTTTTGATTTGTTTTTTGTATTTGGTGGCAATATCACAAAGCTCAACAATTCTAGAAGATGCTTCATTGTAAAAAAAAAATCTAAATATCAACTTTTTAAACAACCTTTTTTTGTTAAGTATTACTAAGCCTCATATTCCTACAAAGTATGTAGAATTTGCTTTGTGTATGATAACAGATGTTAGGATACTTTATTTTTCTTATTGGAAATGGTACATAATAACATCCTTAGAGCTATGGCAATATGCTTCAATGTAAAAAACAACTTTATATTTAAAAACCAATCTTATGCTTATTTAACCAAAAAATAATTTATGGATTATAATTCTGCACATGACTTGTATTAGATCTGAAGCTTGGGTTTATTCAAACATAAGGCTTTTTAAAATATTAGATTTTGCCTGTTTCATTATGACAGATTTTTTTCAGTTTAGATAAAACCTCCAACTGTTTATTGTGATTGATGATTCTTATTAGATTAGTTGCCTCTGATAATTACCGAGTATGGTTTTGATTTTAATAATGGTTTCAACATGTCAAATTGATATAAATCACTTTTATATGTGGCATTAATCTAATGATATCTCAAAAATTCTTAGGTTTTATACAGCTTTTAAATATCTTTCTCTTTTGTTCTTTTTTTTTTTTTTGCTTGCATTTTCAAATATTTATCATGGAAAAAAGCTGGCTAAAAACTTGCTCCTTAAATATTTTTGAGCCAGTACTTTAGTAGCAGAAACTCAAAAGATACATCCAAGTTTTAGCTATGAAGTTCACTGGTGAATGGGCAAAGAACTCCAAGCACAACTGCAAAATTAGATCGCTGTTTCTAGCTCAGGGATTTCCTTATACACAAAGCATTGTGTGCCATACCACAAATAACTTCAGCTTTGAAGCATTTAACTGATGCAGGCACATAGTTATTCCTATCACAGCTTACCTATCTGGTTATTGCATTGGAAGCTTTTTGTGCTGACTGTGAAGTTTGAATAGTGACATTTTTCAGGAGGCAGAGACTGAAAATAAATGCCTAAGCATTTTAAGGCCTTTACCTTATCAAATTTGTTGTTTTTAATTTTTTCAGATAAGCAGGTGATCAGTGTACCGCCTAGCTCTTTGTGAACACTGCAACATACTCTATGTTGGACTGCTTGTGATATGTGTTCATAAAACAGAAAGATTAGGAAAACCCATGGCAATCCATGATACCCAGACACAAGTAGGTTGTTCTTCTGACAACCATTCATGGCATTAATTTTAGAAGGTTTAGCCATCTCTAATTCTGCATAGAATCAGGCCATCTTGACTTCAATATGCAATATTCTTGTTCTCCATTAGTTTAACAACAACCATATAGCATTTCAGGTATACAAAAGTAATCAGAAAATGTCTGGCAATTAAGGAAGCAGATTATTTCTGAGTGGCTTATGCTAGGCAAATAAACTACAGAAATTGGGAAAGCAATTCTAAGTTATTAGGTAATGTGTCATAGAAAATACAGGACTCACTACCATAGTTTTATAAATGAACCTTCACCTAGCATGAAAACTGATACTACATAAATTTTATTCAAACCAAATAATAAAAATGATACTGTAAAAGAAATATTTACTTTCAATATCAAGGAGTATCCTTCTCATTCATAAGAAACAAGAAGTTGAATGAAAAGGAAACTCAGACTTTATCCAGACATATCAGTTCTATACTGAACAGGCCATCCATGTTATTCTTTAACATTGCTATAATACAACAATATGACTCTATCAAATATGGCTGTATAAACCTGATAACATTCCACCTAAATGAATTACTCAGATTAGAAATGTACATGAAGAGCTAAAATGACAGTTGAATTAATTTTTTTTATTCATTTATCAATTCATTTGGATTACTTGCTATGTCATGCTCCTCCACCCCAGCTAACCTTCACCATCTTCCTGTTCCCACTGCTGACCAAGCACATCCGGCCTGGCCCTTGTGCTGGATACACAAAGATTTCTGCCCAAAGACTGAGAGGAATTGGGCTTCCTTTCCTGCAGCCCCAAAGTCACAGTGCACCAAGAGGCCCCAGAACCACAACTCAGCTCAATCTTTGAGAAGAAAGCCTCGTGTCCAGCAGCTGCCTCGTGAAGGCAGACAGGGTATGCTTGGTCAGCAGTGAGATTAGAAGATGGTGAAGGTGAGCTGGGGTGGAGGAGCATGTGGAAACCGGATAGCACAATGCAGGGAACTAAAAGGGCAGAAATGAGGGGGTGATAAGCAGGTGGGGGAGTTGAAGTACTCTTGTGGTCATAAGTGCTAAGTGTCTAAATTTTCATCATGTGACCCTGGGGCACTGTAACAAATGTAACTTCAGGAACCAGGTATAAGTACCATTTGTTCAGTGCTGCCATAACTTTAAATGGTTGTTGAAGAAATTGTTGTCATTCAAAGACTACCTGTATTTTTGTTTAAAAGAGAGAAAATTTACCTTAACATAAGTTTTTTTTCCTCTGCCAATAGCAGCAACTGAAATATGGAATTCCTTGTAGAAAGAATTTTGAATGGCCATATCTCTGAGGTGTCATAAATAGGCAATTAGAACAATTGCTATTAACAAGTAATTATACAGAAATACAGTTTCAAATACTGAAACAACAAAGGATACTGTTGCTACCCCAGCATACTGAATTAACTGGGTGAGAAGATTCATGGGGACTAAATTGATCCACAACAGTTATAGAAGACGAATCCCATATTTTAACATCATCATCTCCTGAAGAAGCAAAACGGACACCTTCCTGCATCTCTACACCTGTAAAAGAAAATTAAAATTACTACAAATATATTTCCATTAAATATTATTCTACCTGGCAAACCAAAAAAATGTAGTTTGTTGCTTTTGATTGATAAACCTATAAAATATAAATAAGATTAATACAATTTGTGGCAAACATTTGTTGCCAGATATTATCGACAGATGTGCTTTTTATTGCCACAATATAGCGGGCATATACAACTACAAGTACCATAAACCTAATCATCATCATCATCATCTCAGATTAATAAACCCAAATGCTTGTCATTAATAACAGCAAAAAGGAGTTAAATATTCAACAAGTATTTATGATCTTAGTTTTGTTACTCTCCAATGCTTCCAAAATGTAATTTCTAAAAACAGTGAATTGAAAAAAAATGAATAAAAAAGTCTTTGTATTTGAGCCAGATCTGATAACTAATGAGTTGCTAAATCTGTCTGTAAACACTACATTTCCAACCTGATAGATTGTGAGGCATCAAATGTTTCAAGAAAGAAATACTACCAAACAAAACTAGGTCACAAAATATTGACCCAGAGCACAATCATACTGGAGGCTTCCAGATAAACATACTCCAGTTTCATTCATTTGGCTGCTCTAATATAACATATGTGATGGAACAAGAGGGCCAACTGTTACATTTCTCACAACTGGGAAAAATTATTTTCACTGTAATTTAGTGCAAATGCTACTGATATTAGATGGATCATCTTTTTTTTTTACATTCACACTTATTCCAATATTCTATCCCATGAATAGAAAGCGTATCTATATTTTTCTCTGCATCGCAGTCTTCCACTCATCTTAGAAGTTTGGGAGGGAGGGAGAGAAGGGATAAAGTATTAGTTATCCTCTAGTAAAATCAACACATGATTTCTCATTACAATAGAACAAAGCCATACCTCTATTGTTAACCTGGATAAAGCACTCTTTCACTAATGAAGATACGAAGCAGTATTTTTTCTAAGCCACATGTCTAGGCAAAATAATTAAACTTTTTAAAAATATAATTTTACCTTCATCTGAAATTTAAGAAAATATGAAGTACCACCCATATACTAAACAATCTGCATCTACTCAGTTTTAACATGCAACAGTATGGTTCAAACACCCCCTCTTTTCCTATGACTGGAGCTACCATCAAGTGTTCCTACTCCAGTTTCTGCCTTCCCATTGGCTGGATTTTTCCTACCAATAATCTGGTGCTGCTAGTCAGACTGGAAGCAGGCAAGGCAGGCTCATTCATGCAGTAGTAAGGATTTAAGAGTGAATCAGCATTAGCCTTGTGACAGTACAATAAAAGTATTTTGTTAAAAGTAATTTTCAAGGTTACAAAAAGAAATCGCAACAGTCACTGTTTGGATACCTAAAACACAAATGAATAGCAACTCTTTTTAAATCTAAAGGTTAATGAGTCCACAGAAGGAACTACAAAGAAATCCTGTAACATGCGTACCAAACTTCATGAAATATTTCTGTAGGATGAAAGCCAGTCTGCTGCTTGCTTGCACTTGCAAAGCTCGTAGAGAATTTTTGAAGGAAAAAATGTGGGCGAATGTATCGAGGCTGATTTTTTTGTGTCGATGAAATCTCATATACATTGTGTACAAATGTCAAGAGGTGGGGGACACTCCTTTAAAAGGAGAATTGCTTGTCAAGTTGCTTGAAAATCGAGCCAAAAAAGGAAAGTATTCAAATTTAGAAAACATTAACTAGCTTCCTTCTCTTTCTTTTCCTTCTCTTTCTTTTCCTTCCTTTCTTCTTTCCTTTTCTTTCATTCATTTTCTTTTCCTTTCTTTCATTTTCTTCCTTCCTTCCTTCTTCCTTTCTTTCTTTCCTTTCTCTTTCTTTTTCTATTAGAAGGTATAGTTAATGTTCTTGAATTTCTCTGCCACTAGTGTTATATATAAAAATACTACAGGTGAAACAGCGCTGGCAATATTTTCTACTTTAGCTCTTGATTAAAGCACAGACATATTTCCCATTAAAAGGATATGAAGAGATGAGACTTCTCCTATAAGTGCAGGTCAGATATCTGGGGTCATTATGAGCTCAGAGTGCAAATTAAGGCCATGGCCAGATGGCCTTTGCCAGCTCTCTTTGGTGCACCAGCTGCACTCCAACCTGGGATGAGTTACTCTTTATACGTTAACGCATGCACATTATACGAGTTTGCTTAGATTACTACAACATATCCTACACGGGGCTGTCCCTGAAGACCACTCAGAAGCTACAACTGGTTCAAATGCAGCAGCCCATATATTAACAAATCAAACTCCCTATAATCATACAATGCCTGCCTTACGGTCATTTACTAATTACCAGACATTTCCAGATAAAAATCAATGCTGGGTTTAATGTACAGGGCCTACATGTTTTGGCCCTGAGATACTTAACAGGTCTGAAGGAGATCATGTTTTTCAGTTGCAACCCCATATAGTGGAATAGAATTCCCTCTTGAAATTAAGTTGACACTTTTCTTATTGGCTTTCCAGAAGCTATTAAAAACATGTTTTGGGAAGTGTGGGGAATTAATGGACATAAATTGTGCAAATTGTATTACAATAGAATTTTGTATTAATTCTGATTTTAGATTTTTACTATGTTTTTGCTTTATGGAAATAAATTGCCAATTTGGTTTTGGCACTACAAATACAGTAAACAGTTGATAATCTATTTTAACTTTAGACTCAAACACTATACATTACATAAACCTAGTTCAGAAGAATACTACAATGGCAAGACCATGATATTGCAGTAAACTCTGCAATCAAAAGCTTATATAAAAATTACAAGCTTGACCTAGAAAAACGGCATTAGGCACATTTATTTTATTTTATGCCACCTGGATCCAAACAATTCTGTGTGGCTCACAATACACCAGGCAATATAATTAAAAAAACAAAACAAAGTTAGAACATAAGAAAAAGAATAAGACAGTAAACACTGTAGAACCCCCAATATCCCAACCAAATCTAACATCCAGCAGAGGGAATTCCAGACATCCTAGGCCTATGGTGGCAAACCTATGGCACGCATGCCACAGACGGCAAGCAGAGCCCTCTCTGTGGGCACGCGTGCCATCACCCCAGTCTTAGGCCTTCAGTCCCGTCCATGAGCAACCTGCATCAAAATCTCCCCGGGCAAATGGCTTTTTAAGCTGGGTTTTATAAAACCTTTTCGCTTTAGGCCTCAACCATGTGCAAAAAAAGAAAAGTTCAACCAATCAATCCATTTCAACTTCTTGCAGGAAAAAAAAATCTTACAAAGTTGGAACTGATTGATTGAACTTTATTTTTAGTCCCACACAGTGGCGGAGGAAGTGACGGGGGGCCACATCGGAACTGGAAAGAAGGTACCAGATGGGGGGGGGCAGTGGCAGGAGCAGGATGCTCTGTGCAAGAGTTGGGTCGGGGCGGTGGGAGAAGGGCACTCTGCAAGGATTGGGTTGGCATGGCAGGAGAAGGGTGCTCTGCAAGGGTTGGGGCGGGGCAGTGGCAGAAAGGCACTCTACAAGGGTTGGATCGGCTCTGCTCCCCTCATACACCTCAGTACCTACCACAGCCACCAGCCACTAGCGCAAGTTCATTAGACCACCGCCCAGAGCTGCATGCCCGCCCAGCATGAAGGAGCTGAAGCAGTCAGCTAGGAATCCCCGCTTAGAGGTGGTAGAGCACTCCCAGGGCCAGCAGGCAAAAGGCCACCCCGAGTTGGGAAAGCCGGATCCCCATCGGCATCATGGCCACCCAGGCCCAGCAGAGATTGGAGGCACCCAAGCCTAGCTGGGACTGGGGGGCCATGGCACCGATGGAGATTTAGCTTTCCCTGCTTGGGGTGGCCTTTGGCTTGCTGGGCATGGGTGTGCTCTACCAATTCTACTCAAGTTTGCTAGCTGGCTGTTTCACCTCCTTTGTGCTGGGCGGGCCAGGTGCTCCAGGCAGTGGTGATAACCTAATGGACCTGCACGAGCTGCTGGCACCAGCAGCTAGAGGCAGGGCTAAGGTGCGTCAGGTGTGCGAGGGGAACAGGCTCCATGTGCAGGCCAAGGGCAAGATCTGCGAGGGAGCCAAGGAGATGACCAGCAGCAACCTCCTCTCCAACCACAAGCAAAAACAGATGGGATGGAATAGGTGCATCCGGTGGTCTGCATCACGCGCTTCCCCCCTCCCCTACTCTGCCTGCTGTTGGAGGGCTAGCCGGGTATTGTCAGTGGGCTGTGGAGTCCCACAGTGAACCAGTCGAGGGGCTGGCAGGCTGTGGCTGCTGATGGACACTGTTGGCTCCCATGCGCTCGCTGTGTGCAGGTGCCGATGGTGTCAGGCAGCAGCCGCCCCGGCCCCTGCCTCGCTTTGCGGCAATGGAACCTCTGCTCTGCCTCCTGCCTTCCCTCACCTCACCCCGCAGGATGAGCCTTCTGCCCACCGTCCCACCCGCCAGAGACCCCGTGGATCTCCCCCAATCCTGCCCAGCCCCCACAGGCATCCCTCCCCATGAGCAACATCGAGGTGGCCACACCTACCCCAGCCACGCTCACCCAGTCTGTTATGACCACTGCAGCCATGCCCATCCAGTGGCCATGCCCACCCAGACTGCCATGCCCACCCTGGCCACACCCACCCAGTCTGCCATGCCCACCAGGTGGGCACCCAGCGATACATAAGTGGGTTTTGGGTTGCAGTTTGGGCACTCAAGTCTCTAAAAGGTTCGCCATATTTCCTAGCCCAAGAGATGACAAAACAGCCAGATCTTAAAGGTCCTATAGAACCGCAACAGGCTGGGACTCACCTAAATCTCAGAGAAATCTCATTCTAGAAGGCAGGGGCAGTGACAGAGAAGATATATTTCCTAAGTCTTGATAGATGGCATTATTTAGTCAAGGGCTCCTGGAGTGCACCAATCCCATCAGCTCAAATCAGCCAGCTAAACATACAGGAAACAGGTAATCCTTCAAAAAGCCAGGCCATGTGCCATATAAGGTTTTATAAGCAACTTGAATCATACCTGCAAGAAACCGAGCAACCAGTGCAGCTCATCAAGTCCAGGAGTGGCCTGCTTTTGACTGCACAATAACACAATGTGCAATTTTTGGAACTGAGCAGATTAATTGTATATATTTAAATAATGAAAAACTTTTTTGTTGAAATACTATTATAGTCAATCAGTACAATAACTTCACATTTGCAGTATATGGGGAAAAAACATTAGTTTCACAATTTACCTAAATATAATGATCTCTGCACATAAGAAATAACAGTTTTAATGTCTGGCAAATAATGGAGGTACACACTTAGGAGACAGCAAAGAGAGGGAATGTGGCTTGAGCTGATGTATGTTAATAAATTATCATTTTCGTAGAGAATTAATAGACTTCAACATTCTGCATGAGAGAATTCCAAAGATCACAGAGAAAAATAAGGAATGTTATACTTTTCTCTCTTTGACCCATTAAATAGGCTGTATCAATAGACCAAACTACCTTATTTTACCTTCATGTAATTCCAAAAAATGTTGTAAAATTATGTTCATCACAAATTAAGAAAAATGTTTGACATTTCATATATTATTTATATTTGCCACACAGCACATATACAGTATTTGAACTCCATGTCAAAAAAAATTGCACACAAGACATTTGTTGCTCATAGACCTCTCCAAAAATCGGTGGAAGGCTTTCATTTTAACTGCCTGCCTAGCTATCAATGAAGCAATTCAGCTGATTCCTCTATGGAAGCACTTCTGTATAAGACATGTGAGGAAGCCATAGCCAGACTCCTAATCAATACACCGAGTCACGTTGAACTCGCATTTCTAAAGATAAACCCTGCTGAATTAAACCAGCTTAATTTAGGCACACAAATAATTGCGCAGGAAGAAGCGCTTCGGTGCTTTATCTGGGGCGCTTCGGAGAAAGAGTGAAGGAGACTTTCGCTGAAATAGTTTCCAGCGGGGAGGCTCAGGGTTACTACCGGTATTTCACACCTAAAGCTCCCTCCCATTCGGGGAACCTAAAGGGCCAATCCTGCCCGGTCAGGGTCCGTCCGTCACTACAGGAACCGCGAAGAGCCAGAACCAAAACTGAGGGAGGGACCAGAGGACCGGCACTGCCGGAGAGCACGGCCAGCTCCAGGACGAAGTAGAGGGCGGGCCGGGCTCCCAACCCATTCCGATTCAGACGACAAGAGATCTCACTTCTCCCTCACCTTCCCACTTCTCCGGGACACCCCGGGTAACAGTCTTTTAGCCAGTCCGAATCATTTTTTTCTCCCCACCATCCAGCGTTATCCTTTCACAAACCAAGACAACCAGCACGCTCACCCCGCCAGAACCAAAGCGCTCGCAGCGGACTTTCCCCGCTTCTTACAACTTAGCAGACTGTCCCAACAGCCACCGCGAGAGCCCGCTACCCACCCTTTTACGGCAGCCGAGAAAGGGCAAAATTACCGACGTGCGCTCGTTTTCCGTAACTAGAAACGAAGGGAGGGGGGAGGAAGCGAGGCTTATCCTGTACCGAAAAGTTGTCGCCCCGTGGCGATGTTCCTTTGCTAATTGTGGGTGTTGCTAAATGGGGCGAGCGAGTGAAGGGTCTTGATAGAATTTTTTTTATGGCACGGGGTTCGTGTCTCCTATTTTGCAAACGCTTGCTGTAATCCTACACTGCGCTCTGAAGAAAGCAGAGTCACCCGGGTGGAGAGGAGACGAAGAATTCGGGGGCGTCGTAAAAACTAACGGATCGTAGCATAAACGTTCGAGGAAGTAGAGTTCCTTCCATCATATGCGCGAATCATTGTGATAAGTCTGGGCATACATACGTACCTTCCAGCGGGTTTTCATTGTCGTTTTTTCTTCTCTCTTTCAGTTTGATCTATTGGCAACAGAGGGCAACGCTGTACAGTATACAGCTGGTGAACCCTCATTCACAAAATATGATGCGTTGTAATTTTTAAGGAGCTAGATATTGGCTTTGGTGACGTTTGTTTGTTTTGGTTCCTCAGACCCTGGTCATCTTTGACTCTGGATGGGATTGCGCTTTCCCATACTTGGCTAGTGCACATTTTGGATCTCTTCATAGACTAGTAGCTCTTACTCAAAAAGCAGGTGGCAGCTATAGCTATATCTTTGCAACGATTCCCTTTGTGTGCCAATTGGACCCTTTCTTAGAGCTGGAAGCCTTCCTCAAGGTCATCCATGCCTTGGTTACTTCCTGCTTGGGTTACTGGCAATATACTCTACATGAGGCTGACCTTGAGGATCACTCAGAAGCTATCATTGGTCCAAATTGTAGCAGCGGGCAGTGGTGGGCATCCCGTAACACCCATAACAGTACAAGCTGCACTGGCTTCTACTTTCATTCCAGATGCAGTTTAAGGGGGTGGTTATTAACTTTAAAGCCCTTCATAGCATGAAACCAGTTATTTGCAGGACCGCCTTTCCTTGAGGACATATGCTCAACTCGCCACACTGCATAGAATAGGTATGCTCCTCATCCCTTCCCTTAAATGCTGCCATTTTACATTTTCCCCTTTGTTGTGTCCCTTGAGAAGTCCCCTATTCCTTTAACCATCCTAAAAACACTTAAGACCTGACTATTCCTTCAATTGTTGGGTATGGTGAAATTATCATGGGACAAACTTGTAGGCTGCATGGGAAAATTTAACTGTGGTGCCAAGTCTCTTTTATTTCATTGTTGACATATGTCATTTTTATTTGGGGACTGCTAACCACACAGAATTTGGTTTAAGTTAGATGACCATATAAAATGTTTTAAATAAAAATTGCATTGTTTCACATTACTGAAGAGATACTGGCAGAACTGCTTTAATGATGTAAATTCTCCTGAGGCTGAACATAGACTTGCTGTGGCTAGACAGATGGCAATATGTTTCTCCCTACTCCCTCCCTTGAATTCTATATGACAAATTAGGCTCAATTTGTTACTGAAATACCGGGGCTTCAATATCAAGCCTCCAAAATAGCAGATGCTGGCAGCAAAAAAAATTTTTGGGGGAAAGGCTTGTTGTTTGTGGGCAGTTATTCAAAGAGAGAAGAATGCTTTGATGTTTTTGAAGTTTTGCTCCAGTTTTGTTTTGTACTATTAGGGCAACCTAACCCTAGCCCACATGCTGATGTTGGTTGGTAGAAGATGTGATCCAATATAACTAAGGCAACAAAACAGGAAAGAGAGTAATCTAAATAAACTTCTATTGAAGGCAAAAAGGGGAAGGGGGCTTCTCTCTAGTCTAGCACTTTGCAGAATGTCATAATTTGTATTTATTGCATGGTGGTTTTATATATTCTTATATTCATAGCATTTGTAAATATATAGTACATTTCAGAAGAATATGGATGTATGTGCATAAATAAGAGGTTTTTCTGCCAGCATCTTTGCTTGAACAGATTATTTATTGGTGACTAATACTCATATTTAGTCTCTAGAAGAAACCATTGAGGCTAGAATAGTCATTATGTGAAACAAGTATGGTTTATTGAAAAGATTCAAAACAGTTTAGAAAGATGATGTCTTTCAGCTATTTTCAAAGACAAGATTAACCAAATTTTATCCAGATGTAATTCACTAAATTGCAATCTAAAATTAAAATACAACCTTTTCTGGTATTCATTGGGTCATGAATCTTAGAAAACAATAACTTACTTCTGTCTGCTGAATCTTATAATAGCTGCAAGATTATTGGTGGGGCAATATTGGAAGAAAAATTCTTTGCCTACTATGGAAGAATGGATACTTAAGGTGTCTAATTTAGCAGAAATGGTGAAAATCTCCGCCTATTTGAAGGACCATTCACAAGAAAAATATATTTCGGTCTGGAGAAGATGGATTGATTATATTCAAAAGAAATATGAGACTGAAAAGTATTATCTTGCTTATGAGTAGATTTTAGATTATTATTAATAGTTTAATATGGTTGAATTTATATTATTTTTAGTGTTATGGTTTAATTGTATTATTATTTTTGTTTTTAATTAGTTAACATTTGTTTTGAAAAGGAGTTAAAGTATGTTATAGTTTGATTGATTGATAGTATAGTCGGGTAATGTTTGTTAGATTATGATTGTTTATTTGTTACCCTGTAATCAGCTCTGGGGAGGGGGGAAGGGGTGGGAGGGGTTTGGGTTATATTGTATTAAATTTGTAAAACTTTTAATAAAAAAATAATAACTTACTTCTGTCACTGTTTAGGGCTGTGCAGTGTTTCATATTCACTTCCGAACTGATGCTTGGAAACGTGAATATAGCATCTTTGCAGTTCTTTAAAGAATGGTATATTTTCCACAATCAGATGATTACTCTGTAATATTGTCATATAATCCTAGACAAAAATTACCTTAAAAACCACAGTCACTTGCTATATTTGCCCACATAGTGTTCTGAAATACATTTCTGGAATCTAATGTGCTGCACATTCCAAATATATATTTCTTTTCCAGCTTTTTGCTTGACATAAGAAACAATCAGAGAAAGGATGAGGAAATGTTATACATTTTTAAATTGAGAGCAGTGTGAATAAGGGATTTTTATGTTTTTTACTCAAGAGAATAGTGCAAAATACTTCTGCTTCTTACTGAATCTTTGAAAACTAAGTTGATATATAGATGTTAATGTAGTGCTGTTAGTTTTAAATTATTTGTTATTTTACACCTATGCCAAGTGCATTAATAGGAATGTGGATTTATTTCTTTCTTCTTGTAGTCTGCAGATGCAGATATAAAGGCAAAGATCTCGCTGTTTATAGCAACTAAGAGAGAAGAATAAAGAGAACATTTATATTTATAACTTGCAAAATAAATATTACCAAAAGTAATAAAAATCCATGAACAAAATTAAACAGGTGTTGCTTCTACAATATTTTGACATCCTAGTTCTAACAACATACAAAGGTATCTAGGAATACAAATAAATAAAACATTCAAAGAAAAGCTGCAACTCACTGATTGCTACTAGAAGAATATCATATCGTGTGCTAAATAATTACTTTTAAACAGTTAAGGCAAATAAAAAAAATTATAACAGTTTAAATGGAATGATTTTCATTTAAGAATGCAATCAAAAGATTAACTGGCTTTATTTCCATTATTTTTGAAGAAAACAATGACACTGAAAACATTGAACCAAGAGGTATAAAATTAACCACCAAAAATAATATTCTGAATCAAGAGCAACGGAAATTTCAAAAATCAACTGAATATGTTTAATATTTAAATTATTAATACTTAAAATATTTTATAAATTTAAAGATTTTTATGGACCAATTCTACGCTTCAAGTAACAGAATTCCAGTTGTTTCAGAGTGATGGGATATTGATTCAAAAAGCTGTCAAATCATTAAATCAAACATGTTAGTTTTACTCCTGAAAAAATATTCAAGTAAGCAGAGATACTATCCAGCTGAAAACACTTCCTGCCGTTATTACACATCCATTCGCTGGATCAAACAATTTGCTTAAATTCTTTATTGATGGTATAGTGATGTCAAATGGGATCTGGAAAAAAAAGAGAAAATGTTGAGTAAACAGATATGCTTGTCTTTGAATTAAGTTGTAACTGATCATCTTAGCTAAAGAATCTTTGAGAGGAACATTTTTAATTAGGAGCAATTGTTTCTCAACCCTGGTTAATATCACATTTACTAACAAGAATCTTAACTAAAGAAAACTGGAAAAAAATCTGCCTAATATACATACATGGACGTCATAAGAAAAAAAATCAATTAATTTACATTAGCAAAAAGATATCTGGCTTCACTGTAATTTTCCAAACTGATTCTGAATAACACAGTACAGTTAGCCCTCAAAATTACCACGGAAGTTGGGACTGGCATCTCCATCATTGTACAATGCAGTTCTTGCACTGTGATGTCACAGGATCACATCAATTACCAATAGCAATCGTGTCACTCCCCACTGCTGCCATTAACTAAACCCTACCAGTCATTACCCGAGGACCCACTCCAATCCAAGTGATTCCCATTTTGTCCCTCCCAGCCGAGGTTCGATAAGCTTATGCTAAAGGACTGGGTTGCTTCCTTTGCCTCCTCTTCAACTCCCCCCTCCGCTTATCCCCCCCATTTATGTCCTTTTAGCTGCTGGTGGACAGCTGCCCCTGCCAGCCCTACTTGCCGCTGCATCCTTCTAGCTGGGGGTCAAGTCCCACCTTAGCCATGAAAGCCAGCTGAGTGACCTTAGGCCAGCCACTCTCTCTTAGCCCAACCCACCTCACAGGATTGTTGTTATGAAGAAAATAAGAGGAGGAAGATGTGTAGGATATGTTCATTGCCTTGAGTTATTTGTAAACATAATAAAGGCGGGATACAAATAAATAAATAAAATTGTGAATGGACCAAAGTGCTCAACTTTTATTCAGGTCACC